GGTGGGGGGGGGGCACAGGCATGTCCAGGGCAGTACCACAGGAGGGCACTCCAACTCTGGCAAAGCCCCCCAGGGTCCCCTGGAAGGCACTTCCCAGACCACAGACCTCAGGCCACAAGCCATGCCCACTGACCAGGTGTGGCGGGCTGGCCCCCAGCCTCCCAGCCCAGGGCAGCGCTACCGGGGACTGGGGCACTCACCGAAGCCTGCCGGTGGGTGTTAGAGAGGATTCGGTGAACTTTCACTTGGCTCTGGTTGGCTCTGGCCACGTCCACCCACAACTCCCGGCTGCGGGGCTCGCTGGGACCATAGAGTCGGGACACATAGTAGCTGTGGTTGTCCTCCTGTCGTTATCCAAGACACAGCCCACAGGAGGCATGAGGAATCAGGATGCCAAGAACCACAGAGTCTGGATACAAGAATTCATGGCCCTCCCAGGGGAGCAGACCGTGGCCCAGAGCTGGTTTAGGCCTGGGAGCCCTTTGGCCCCGGAGAGCTCAGTACCTGCTCCCTAGCCATGCCCCCAACAGCTCTGGCGCCAGCTAAATCCATACCTGCTGTAGCCATGCTCCACTCTGCCATCCCCAGGACAGGCCAGGAGGCTTTTCCTACAGCCCCTGAGTCCCCCGCAGAGAACACCCAAGGCACAGCTCAGCTTGGGAGGTGAGGGAGCAACAGGCAAGGCAGCCTCAAACAGAGCCCTTGTCTTCGGGGAGCTCCCAGACTGAGGGGGAGACATAGCCCCCTTCCCTGGGGAGCACCCAGTTTAGGGGAGAAGAAAAACTGGATTCAGAAGCCACCAGTCTAAAGGTGAACGCACACCTTGATCTTGGGGCATTGCTTGGGGCATTGCTAGTCCGATGGAGCAGGTGGGACTTACACAAACAGAGTACACAGACACAGACCCTCCAGAGAGAGATAAGACAGGGGCCATGTTAGTCACTAAAGGCTTGAGAGACAGGAGAGAAGCAGCAATGATGCCTTCAAGACATATTTTTAAGCTTTACTATGTGCCTGATGGGGACAAAATAAAAGAACAAGCCAGAACCCAGAGGGCTGGGGGTTAACTCTGTAAAGCCTCTCCTGTACAGGAGCATTTAGGGGCAGGACTTAAAGGAGGCTGGACATGGTCAGCAGAAAGTGTGGAAGAGCCCAGGGAGGAGGCAATGTCAAAGCATTTCAGCCCATCCGGGAGTACCAGCCACCAGCCGTAGGAGAAGAGGCCGAGTGGGCAGGTCCACTCGGCCGCTGCCACAGAAATGGAGCCGCTGACTCGTGCGGAGCCCTGGGCGTCGCGGGCCATTAATCAGGCTGTCGGGCCGCAGTGGCCGCAGACACCGCAGAGCCGACCATGTTCTCCCTGCCAAGCTGCCAGCTGCCCAGCCAGCCCTTGCCCTGGGCCCAGCATGAGCAGGGCCGAGGGATGCCTGCTGTCTCCACCCGCCCGGAGACAGACTCTGCTCTTCTGACAAGTGACACATTCTGGGGACCTGGGGTCCGGGCAGGGCTGGGGAAAGACGAGCAGGAGAAACATGGGGTTGGGGGTAGATTTCCCACTGCCACTGCCTGGTTCCTCCCCTCCAGCCTCTAGACTGCGGGCCCCTCCACCCATCCTCAGCACGGACGTCAAACAAATCTAAAACACATACGAGGCCACAGCCCTCTGCTCACGAGCCATCGGGGGCTCCCACTGCCCTCGAGACAAAATCCAAACTGCAGCCTCACATTCGAGGTCTCACCGTGAGCCAGCCCCGCCTTCTCTCTAGCTTCGCTTCTCTCTCCCTCTCCTTCGCCTGTGCATCCTTGTGCACCCACTCACCAGACTGACTCCCCGACAGTCTGAGGCCACCAGTGGTCACTCATGCCTCTGCACAGCCTGGTCCTCCTGCCTGGAATGGCCTTGCTTTCTCCCCCTGGCAGATTCCTACTTCTTCAATGCACAGCTTGAACATGACCTTCTTATTGATCTCCTCCCCCAGCTTGCCCAGTGGCGGCCTCCACCGTCCACAGGAGCCCTCAAGGGCTGACTCATGGGTACAGTTTGTGAGAGTCACATGGGCCCACGCTTGCTGGCTTTCTGATTTTACTCATGAAGCCACCTGAGGGGGTCACCCTGATGCCACCACCTCTGGGGTGCCCATGCCAAGGATGCTGCCTCCCATTGCTGTCACAGTCACTTACCCTGGGGTCCCAGAAGATGCCCAGAGGAGGAACCGCTGTCCCCCAGTTTGCCTGTGGGCACTGGGGAAGCTGTGCTTATGCCCTGAGCTCACAGCTTCCCTCAGGAAAGCGGCCCCTTCACCTTCTGCTTCTCCCCCACCCCGCAAGAGACCAGATGCCACGTCTTTTCTCCCTGGGTCTCCATCTCTCCTATCTCCATCCATCTCTGCTGGGGTCCCCACCTTGACCAAAAAGAAAAAACAACCAAAAAAATTACCTGCCACCACTATGGAAAACAGTATGGAGGTCCCTCAGAAAACTAAAAACAGAATTACCATATGATCCAGCGATCCCACTCCTGAGCATATATCCAGACGAAACTATAACTCAAAAAGATACACGCACCCCTATGTTCATAGCAGCACTATTCACAATAGCCAAGACATGGAAACAACCTAAATGTCCATCTACTGATGAATGGATAAAGATGTGGTACATATATACAATGGAATACTACTCAGCCACAAAAAAGCATGAGATAATGCCATTTGCAGCAACATGGATGCAACTAGAGATTATCATACCAAGTGAAGTAAGTCAGAAAGAGAAAGACAGGGCTTCCCTGGTGGCACAGTGGTTAAAAATCTGCCTGCCAATGCAGGGGACACGGGTTTGAGCCCTGGTCCGGGAATATCCCACATGACGTGGAGCAACAAAGCCCGCGCGCCACAACTACTGAAGCCTGCACGCCTAGAGTCCGTGCTCTGCAACAAGGGAAGCCACTGCAACGAGAAGCCCGCGCACCGCAACGAAGACTAGCCCCCGCTCGTCGCAACTAGAGAAAGCCAGAGCGCAGCAGTGAAGACCCAACGCAGCCAAAATTAAGTAAATATATTAAAAAAAAAGAGAAAGACAAATACCACATGATATCACTAATATATGGAATCTAAAATATGACACAAATGAACCTGTCTACAAAACAGAAACAGACTCACAGACATAGAGAACAGACTTGTGGTTGCCAAGGGGGAGGGGAGGTGTGGGAGGGATGTGGGAGCTTGTGATTAGCAGATACAAACTATTATATATAGAATGGATAAACAACAAGGTCCTACTGTATAGCACAGGAAACTCTATTCAATATCCTGAGATAAACCGTAACGGAAACGAATATAAAAATGAATGTACATGTATGTAAAACTGAATCACTTTGCTGCACAGCAGAAATCAACACAACATTGTAAATCAACCACACTTCAATTAAAAGAAAAAAAAAATCACCGGCCAAGAAACAAAGCCCCTTGCACACAAACTCATGCAAAGACATGTGAACAAAGGTGCCCAAGAGAAGAGTCTGAGGGCCCACAGCCTGCTTCCTGGGAGTCACATGGTGAGCAGTTTTTATTCCACCTCAAAGCAAAAACAACAGGGGGCCCTGACCAACACTGTGCATCTGACAGTCTGCAGGACTCCAGCGCCGAAGCCAGTTTAGGTTCAGCTGCAACCACTTGCCACAGCCATGGCTACAGCTCAACTCTTCTCTCCACTAGCTCCAACAAGGGAGTGGTTTATTAAAGGACATCCGTCAGCCTAAACTTTTGCCTGAAGAAAGGATACCAAGTTTAGATGCTATTCAGCCCATCATTTAAACGTCTACTCCCACCGCCACCGCCACCCCCAACCCCCAACTCTGAGCCCCTGCCACATAGGGACAGGCAAGATCACCTCTGTACCCATGGCTCAAGGTCCCTGAATCCTTGACGCCTGGTGAGGCGAGGCCTGTTCTGGGAGTCCAGAACCTTCCTTTGCCCTTTTATAGGAGAAGAAAGAGGGACCGGTGCCTGGCACAGTCAAAATTTTGGAAGTAAACCTGCCCCTCTAATTCCTAGGCTGTCTTATTATGACCTGTCGGGGAGGGGGACACGAGTGACCAACAGAGCAAAGTAGCGTCTAGGTGGTACTCTAGTCCTTTTGAACACACAGAAGGTTTAACTGTGTCCTGCATAAAGCTTTGTTCAAGTCCTACCCCCCCCACCCCGTACCGTGAATGTGACCTTATATGCAAATGTAATTAAGATGAGGTCATACTGGATTAGGGTGGGCCCTAAATCCGACTACAGGTGTCCTAGTAAAAGAAAGGAGAGGGAGATTTAGATACAGAGACACAGAGGGGACACAGGGAAGAAGGCCATGTGACAACAGAGGCAGCGATTGGAGTGATGCAGTTTACAAACCATGAAACACCAAGGATTGCCAGGGACCACCAGAAACTAGGAATAGTCAAGGAAGGACTCTTCCCTAGGCTTCAGAGTGAGCGTGGCCTTGCTGACACCTTGACTCAGACTTCTGGCCTCCAAAACTGTGAGACAATAAATTTCTATTGTTTTAAGCCACCAAGTTTGTGATATTTTGTTACGGCAGCACTGGGAGGCTAATACACAGATGTGTGTTGCTCTGCCTCAAGTGGGGCAACGCTGAATGTTTCCCCTTTCACGTCACCGCCATGTTTAGAACATTCTGCGGCTTCCCAGCTGTACTCAGATTGAAGGCCACACTCCTCACCATGACCTACAAGGCTCTGTGGGGCAAACTCTAGACACTGCTTACCCAATATCCATTACCCCTCTTTTTTATTAATAGCACATTGATTTTGTAGCAAAAGCAAATTTGACTGCTTGTCCCTCTTGCCCTTGCCCTTCTCCTTATTCCTGCCTGGAATGCAGATGTGATGACTGCAGCTTCAACAGCCATCTTGTGAGCATAAGAACAAGAGCCACATCCTAAGGCTAGTGGAGTGGAGAGTTAGACAGAACCTAGGTCCCTGGAGGGATGCTTGTTAAGTCCTCGGATTCAGCACTCTGTTATACGCAAACATGAATTCTTCCTGATGCATAGTAGTCTGGCCCCAACCCACCACCTCTTCCTTCCCCCTTGCTCTCCATGCTCCAGCCCTGTTGGGCTTCTCTCAATTACTGAAATCACCAAGTGCTTGTCTGTCTCAGGACCTTGGTACTTCCTGTATCTCCAAACCTCTTTCTCATTCAGTTCAGAAGCTGACTCTTCTCTGTCCTTCAGACCTCAGCTCAGTGGTCCTTCCTGATGCCCCTGTTGCACTCTCATTGCACCTCAGGCTTCTCCCTCTCAATGTGTTGTACACTTGTGATGACTGACTTGACTTTTTTTT